GAACCTCCCAGAACATTGTATTGTGCCACGCCCAACAGAAATAACCCAAGTGGGTGACTTTAAAATCAGGATCTCCTCAGTTGCTAATAGCAATTCCCACCTTGGAGTTTACAAAGACTTATGGGTAGAAAAGCCACACTAAGTAATTTACTACACCGCAATTTCCTATTTCATATCTGGAGAAACTGAAGCTAAGAGAGCTTAACCGCTTTCAAAGGTCACATGACCAATAACTAAAAATTGAGAGAGCCACATTTAGGTTTTCTGCATCCAAAGCCCACCCTCACCTACCGACATCATATTCACCTTTTTAACGTTACACTTGATAACAACAGTGCAAAAGTATAAAAGTGAATGGGGGAATAAAAATCAAACAAGGAACGTCATCATTTCAGCAGGCTGAAAAAGGAAGAGAAACAAATCATGAAAGTGGGAGTCATGAGCTTAGACTGTGTTTGTACTTAGCCAGTGTAATGTGGAAGCTGAGGGTTTAGTCTTCTTTCCACACTAAATGACCATTGTGGACCAGTGTCCAGAAATTGTAGTCACCAAGTCATGTGAACCAAGTGACATTTGGGCCTGGGGTGGACTGGGCAGGAAGTGATGCCCTGTTTCCGTGCAATAAAAAAGGTGCTGTCAAGTCCATGCTGATGCATGGTGATGCCCTGTGTGTCAGACAGAACTGTGTTTCACAGGGTTTTAGGGTTTTCAGTGACTGAATTTTCAGATCACCAGGCCTTTCTTCTGAGGCTCCTCTGGGTGGCTTTCATCCTCCAATCTTCCGGTTAGCAGCTGAGCACATTAACTGCTTACAACACCAAGAGACTCCATTTCCACCACAGGGGACTCCTTTAAAGCCACCTTGCCCTGAGAATTATCCCTTTGGGCTTGGAAGCCTTTTCTGGGGCCCTGCATGTGCCTCAGTAGTGCCCACTCAGATGGGTCTCTTTCTGAAGGGAGGGCGAGCAGCTCAGGCTGTGACCCTGGTTGTTGTTGTTGATGTTGTTGTGTGCCGTCGAGTCAGACCCGACTCATAGCGACCCCTCCTTGGGTTTCCGAGGCAGTATCACTACAGAAGTAGATTGCCCCATCTTCCTTCCGAGGAGTGCCTGGTGGGTTTGAACCGCCAGCCTTCAAGTTAGCAGTGAAGCACCTTAGGTACTATGCGACCCTGGAGGCATCTAAAAATGTGATGCTGAGCCTTGGCGAAAAGCAATTGAGTTATAATTGAAAGTCCTGGGAGTAGAAAAGGATGCTTCCCAGCCAAGTAGCTCTCTGGGGGCACAACCCTCCCCCATCCAACTGACAGGATTTGGGGCATCTGGCTGGTGAATGTGAGCGGCTTTATCTAAAGTTAAAGCCCCCCAGCCCACATTCACCAGCCAGATGCCCC